GTTCATAGGTTGCTTTTTCTGCTGTTAGGTCTTTCCTAAATCCAAATTGCTCTTTGACTAATATGTTGTTAGAATTTAAGTGTTCAAGTAGTCTATTATACATAACTTTTTCAAAGACTTTTGAGAATGAAGTCAATATGGATACACACACCAGAGAGAAAACCTGACCCAGCAGTATTGGGTTGACAGTGGTCAATTGGTGGTTCAGTGATGAGGAACTGATTATTCTGTCAAGGACCAAGAGATGCTGCCAGTCTGGGCCCAGATGGAAGTTATCTTGGAGGCAGTGAAAGAGCATCAGGTGGTGGTGATCAGTGGTGACACTGGTTGTGGAAAGAGTACTCAGATTCCTCTGTTCCTGCTTGATGATTGGCTTCCAAACTGGGACACAGCCAAAAGGCGGCATGTGGAGATAATATGTATCCAACCAAGATGACTGTCAGCCATTGGTGTAGGTGAAAGAGGAAAGAGCAGAAAAAATTAGCAACATTACCAGATACACTTGGAGAGAAAGATGTCAGCATCAACTCGGTTGTTGTTCTGCATGACAGATATACTTCTGCAATTTGCACATGACTGGGTGGCTTGTCCTATTGGTGCTTGTGACAGCCTCCAGATGGACCCAATAGAAAACACTTCTTCCAGTGGCACTCCCACTGGTCACACTGTGTGGCATGATGTATTTCATTTTTACATCGCTGTTTATTTCACCATAACCTAGTAGTGGACATCTCTTCTCATTAAAATATTCTGGCTTTCAATGGACATACCACATTATTAAATAAGAACTGTACTTCTGTCACAATTTAATTAATTAATACTAGTTATTGTTTTAATTATTTAAAGTCATATTTTTTAACCTGGTGCACAATGTAAGACGGATGAGCAGACTGCAGAGTCCATCATTAAATCATCACACCAATGCTGCTCAACATCAAATGAAGAAGCACTGGTGTGACTGACTGTGGGTAAAAATGGAAAGTCAGGATACTGAGTCTGGTCACAGGTGACCCACAAGTAAAATTTTGGTTTCCCCATGTGTATATAGCATCCAATTAAGTAGAAAGAAAACATATAAAAAATTTTGCAGTTGGCATAGGTAACATAACCACAAAGCACATATATCTGTAAAAAGGAGTAATCCGGTTTTGTGAGTAAGTAAGAAGGGTTCATGCTTGTTTAGCTCTAAGTGAGACAAGAATTACTGAAGTTGTTTATGACCAAGTGATCACAACCTACAAGCACAATAACATGCTACTTGTGATTGAGCAAACGCCAGTTATACAATAAAAGTTGCTGTTGTACAGCTAAATATTTTCACTGTAAATATTTTCAGCACACACACTTCAAGCCTAGGAATTAACATTTGTTGTAGCAGAATGTTTACTCCTAACCAATATAAGGTATTAATAAAAGTATGGTCAACAAAAACATTTCAGAAGCAAGCAAACAATAAAACTGGTAAAAAATAAAACAGAATTCAAATAACCATTATTTTCTACTACAGCAAAATTAATTATATTCTGTTCCTCATTGAGGATTGATGTAAAAAACTTCCAAAGTTTGGTAATCTAAGCTGACTTAGGGGTGCTGAAGAATGAGGTGTGAACTGAAGCATGGTATGAATTACATCATACTTCAAGGAAATCTTTTAAAAGGGTTGCTCGTCTCTTCTCTGCTATGTCCATCTGGTTCTGTAAATCACCACGATCTGTGGTTTCTGCCCGTTCAATCTTCCATGAAAGGTTTTCTATCTCAATCTCTAACTGAGCCTGCTGGTATTCAAACTGAAAAATTTCAACATACAGTCAAAATCTGAATCAATACAGCTTGTATCCAGAATAAACACTTTTTTACACTTGGGTGAATCTTACTGTTCACTATAATAAATCCAGATAGCCTTCCTAGTCTGTCACACAGAGGCAAAGGATTGGTACCAGGTCACTATGGGCCATATTTGGCCTTCTTATAGAGGTATACTCCAGTTTTATTTAATCTTCAGCACTAGATGGAAGTGATGAGTATCACATTCTAGTCACTTTACCCCTAGAGAAAGAGCCTCCAGTAACTAATGGATAAGAGGCTCGGTGGGTCCCAACGCCAGTAAGAATGGCAAAGAGAGTAATCTATGTCCTCACCAGGGATCGACCTCCGGCTCACCGATCATCTAGCATGTAGTCCATAACTGGATGAACTGAACTATCTGGGAATTATTCATACATACGTCTATAAGCACACTCTAAACAGTCGATGACAGTATAAACGTTAGGTGTGCTGACAAAGAGAAACATTACATCAGAAAAGCCATAATGAAGTTCACTACCAGATACTCTCCGAAGGGTGATATCAATCTGTTTTCAGATTATTTTGAGTTGTGCCATCTGGAAGTGAATTATTGGGAATAAGTGGCTATTACTCAGCAGGGTGTAATTGTTCCCTACAATTTCATCAAGAGAAAACCTTAATACGTAACACTGTACGTGCCTGTGATGATACGACTCAAGCGTCAATCTTTATATCAGTACTGCTCTGCCCTTGGATGTGAGTACCTTTACATCTGTATTCTATATGCTAAGCAACATTTTGCTTATATGTGTGAAAATGTCACAAGTTATATGCCAAAAATTTATGACATGAGTTGTTTTCTGTAGTCCTTTACACCCTTTGGTGCAGGAGGATACTTAAATGGTGATGAGTGCAAAGTGTTAATCACATGTATATTCAAAAACTAACAGAAGTAATTCTTCAACTTATTCAGGATACTGTTGGTATCTGAAAGCCGATGACCATTCTCAAATTTTAATAAAGAAGTTCTGGGTTGGAAACTCTTCTTAAATTCATTTATACATCTACACAAGTCCTAAATATTCTTTATTCTACTGTTCCTCAAGGTCATTTTGTTCTTCAAATATTTCCAAGCAGGAAACCAGCATGAAGCAGGCAGCAAGCAGAGCAACCAAAATGCTGGTTAACTCTTCATAAGCACCACTATAAGAACTTCAAATCCCACAAGTATTTCCTTCTTTGGATCCTGATATGTCAGCCACTTTCATGTTCTGACTGGATCCATTCATCTGTCTCAGATTCTTCAACCACTGCAAATCAGAAGGCTTCCCCTTATCTAATCATTTGGAGCCATCTTCATCACACTAGGATTTATGCTGCTTTAATTCTGAATTACACAGACTATTTTTGGCCATGGCTTTGACAATCTCTCTAGCACTTATAAAAACCTTACTGATTTCTACATTAACATTCAAGTTTTCCTAAGCTGCATACCTATTTGAGATTTCAACAACGTAACGTTTCTTAAATTTCAAATATCTAGCTTCACCCCTATTCAAACTACTGCACTGCTAATTTAATTACTGGGTGTCTCTCCTTAACTTCTGCAACCACCAGACAGCAGTAAACAACACAGTAAGCTCCTCTAGAAGACTGGTCATAAATTACATTTGAATGCTATGTTCTACCTATCAAGATGTGATCAATCTCACTGTGCATCTACCCACAGAAGTTTGTGTGTACTTGTTCCTGATAATTACACTTCCTGATGTCACTAAAATGGTGCACGAATTTTCTCTAAATCTATAAGCCACCTCTAACAACTAGAAGCCAGAATATAAAATAAAATACCTCAGGTAACAAATTTGCTTGCTTTTATTATTAAGAAAACAACTGAAATACTTTTATTAGTAAAAAGGCAACTGTAACACCCACGCAAATAACAACCTGTTCCTGTCACGCTCTATGGCCCGCTCAACCTCCTGTCCAATGGGTATCGGGGGCTCTTTCCCAAGGAGTAAAGCTGCATGAGAGTGAAACTGACTGCTCACATCAATCTAGAGTCAAAGTCAAGAATGGTGGAGCTAAACCTCCAATCCCACATGTCTTCATGGCATAATGCTTAATTAATTAAGCACAAGGACAACTTTACCTTTACCTGCCACGCTCACAAAAACCCCAACATGCCCCTGCTAGGATATGGAGAAAACTCAAATTATCGTTATTTATTTCTGTCTTATTAAAGTGACTTTTGTATGTTCAATGGCTGCATGCCTTCTGTCACACTGTCATGCTTCACTTCACTCATTTGTTCATGTTATTAACACTTTGAGGACCGGTGGCATATTACTATAATTTTAGGACACGTTATGTTGAAACACTATATCTTGCACTGGCACCAGGCAGATGCATGACTGGTGCGTGATAGACCTTTGAATGTTTGCTTCGTATTCAGTAACATGATCCCACTGCTTATGACCCAACTGTTTTCCTTTCCCACTCAAAAAGAAAATGCCTTTGTTCATCTTCTAGCTGCATGCACCAGGCAGGAAGTTACTAGTGCAAAGTGGATCAAGGTGGAAGAGGTTGAGGTCCAAACGTTTTCTCGATGAACAAGAAATATCTGACTTGTTCTCCGACTCACAATCTGATAGTGAGTGTGGCAGGGGTGAACAAAAAATTGTGGCCACAGACAGTGAATGTGAAAGTGACAGTAGCTCTGATGAAAGTGCGTGTAGCAACATTGCGGGGACAGCCACATGGGGAAAAGTAGACAAAATGCCTGCTTTGGGACAGTTTACTGGAAATCCAGGGGTGAAGCAAATTCCATCGGACCCAATGCAAGTGTGTGAAGTAGTGGAACTGTTTTTTGGAGATAAGTTTCTTTGACATGCTATGTCAGGAAACTAACAGATACTACCTCCAACACCGTGAACATTATGACAGAAGTTATAAGGCATTGAAGTGAGTGGATGATACTTCAGCATAAATGAGAAACTTTTTGCAATAATCTTTCTAATGGGCTATACAAGGAGGGATAATCTGAAAGAGTATTGGTTAACAGATCCATTTTTAGAAATTCCAATTTTCGGCAAACTAATGAGCCATAAGATATTTGAGCAAATTTGGTGGTGCTTGCATTTCAATGATAATGAACTGCGACCACAATCAACAAGTAGGCTTTTCAAAGTTCAGCCCTTATTGAACTTTTTCATTCAGAAATTTCAGATAGTTTATAAGCCAAACCAACATCTGTCTTTGGACGAATCTGTGATACCCTGGAGGGGAAGGCTTCTATGTGAACATATAATCCTGGGAAACTTANGGCCTACTTGTCCGTGTAGTTACTGAAAGCACTTCAGGCTACATTGGAAATTTAGAAATTTATTCTGGTGAAGAAAAAGAAATTACAAGAAACTATTCTTTTCATTTTTTTAATCCTATCTTGATCAAAATTACCATGTCTATCAAGACAATTTTTATAACTGTGGCAACTGCAGAACACCTACTTTCAAGAAAAGTACGTGTTTGTGGAACAATTAGGGTGAACAGAGGCCTTCCTCCAGATCTGAAAGAGGAATGTAAATCCCTGAAATGTGGTGAAACCACATTCAGGAGGAAGGGGGATATTCTTCTTCAGTCCTGGAAGGATACTCGTGTTGTGAATATGATTTCCACAATTCACAATTCGAGCATGGTTGATGTTCAAAGGAGACATGGACAGGTAAAGAAGCCTGTTTGTATTTCCGAGTATAATATGTTCATGAAGGGAGTTGATACAGCTGATCAGTACTTGGTCTATTATTCTCTTCCTCGGAAAACAGTAAAGTAGACAAAGAAAGTTGCCTTGTGGCTTATAAATTGTGCTATTTTCAATTCACTTTTGGTTTTCAAAATCTAAACCCTCATTCAATTGAAAAACAAGGCATTTCTGCTGAATGTGGCAAAAGCCTGGGCTACAAACCAGACAGTGGCGGCAGACACAGACTTAGTGCGACCGGGTCCATCAACTCCCACCCCACGCAGACCTCATGTGGACCCCCTGGGCGACTCTCGGGTGATATGTGAAAACATACCCTTGTGAAAATTGTGAAGAGTGAACATGCCAAGGGGAAGCAGCTTTTTAGGCGATGCCGCGTTTGCACAGTACATAACAAAATGAATATGACTGTCTACATGTGCAAATTCTGTGTAATGCCACTTAAAAAAGGGGAATGTTTCCAGAAATATCACACTCTCAAGCATTTCTAGGAGCATTGGTAAGCATTCTCCAAAAATTTTAGTTCATAAAATTAATTAGGAGATTTTATATTAATTTTTAAAGTGAACAGTGCATAAGTTAGGGTAGTAGGTTCAAAAATTCCAGTCCCCAGGGTGATTTAAATATTTAAATCACTGGTCCCCGAAGTGTTAATATGTTTCAGCCATATATGGCTCTCTTCAAGTATATATGTTGCATGTATTTTCTTCTTACTCCATACAGCACCATTTAAATTAAAACTGAAGAGTTTTTTAATAGGTTAAAATTATGAAGTAATGCTAGTGGGGTGGGACTAAGTCCCTTGTACTGCGGCCACTTCTGGCCTATTGTACCAGCCCCAGATGACAGGTGAGGGTGATTGTGGAGCAATTGGTGGAATGAAGATTGGCAGGGGAAACCAAAATACTTGGAGAAAACCTGCCCCAGCGCCACTTCGTCCACCACAAATTCCACTTGACCAGACTAGGGATCGAACCTGGGCCACCGCTGTGGGAAGCCAGCAGCTAACCGTTTGAGCTATAGCATGGCCTAAATTATAAAGTAAACTGAAGCAGATAATCTGGAAGTAGAATACTATAGAGCACTCACTGCATGTAGGTATTATATGTAGTTCAGCTGTCAATGTATCCTTTTTGTTGATTATTTTTTATGTTGAATAAAAGATCCCTCTTGGAGGCTCACTGTTTGGTGCACCACATGCAGTCAGGGGCACATATTTGGTTGTTGGTCTTATTTATTGGA